ACGCGTTACAAGTAACGCGTTACTGCCCATCTCTGGTTGGCACAGGTTTGCAAATAACTGTTGCCTAATTTATAAATGCAGACAATTCCCAATATGTTCCCAATAACTTGCCTGTCTGCTCTTTACATTAGGGAACTCAGATCATCTGGTTTCCAGCTGGTTGTATTCTACTCTGTGCTCTACTCCCAATAAAAGCAAGGTTGCTGTACATGTACCTCATTTAGCATTTAAATCACAGTCCTGCAGCAACTGTGTATCTACTTGTGGAGGAAATTCTGAACTTCCCTTTCAGATTACTGAGTTTCTGGCTGGAATTTGAATTTCTGTGTAGATGGCAACAGGTTTGCAATGTTCACAGATTTATCACAGATTGGATGTAATCACTCAGTCACCTGATAGCAGACTGACGCTATCTTATGACCGTTTAATCAGTGTCTTGTCACACCGAAGCCACTTTAAGGATGGCAGCTGCCTGCAAGTGGTGTTAAACAGTTGTTGATGAGGGAGAGCCAGTCAGAGGAAAGTTGGTTTTAAAGGAGATAAAATGGCCTGTGTCAGGTGGACAGTGAACTGATGGGGCTGTATAAAGACCCATTATAGAATAAATATGGATTATTTTAAACTGTGAATCATGCAAAGCTACTCTAGTAGAGCCCGCCAATAAAATAAAGGGGGCGGAAATTACTGTAGTAAGTCCACCTTAACATTTTAACTCATACCTGGTGTTGTGCCCGACTCCAACTAAAGCTCAGAATCATAGAAAGAAAAGAAAAGAAAGCTTTTGGGCAACCAGCTGTGAGGCCACAGTGACCCCCAAACCTGATCCGATCACTTTTGAGTACATTTAGAATTTAGTGCCAAATTTGAATCTCAGATGACCTTTGACACGTGATCTCCTAAAGCATGTTTGATAGGCAAGTAGAAAATCCTACCAATCGAAAATTACTAAGAAAATATTCTCGTTGAGCCGATTAGTCAAAGATATTTATTTTTAAAAAGGTGGAAAAACAGAGAGAGAACTAAAAAACCAAAACAAAAAGTTGTTTATATGGTTCTAAGCTTTATGATTCATGCACACATCTTGAAAAAGCATGCATATACACACAGAAAGACGTTTGCAGGACATTAACAGCCTACAGAGGAGGAAGTGCTGGGCACAGCGCAGTGTGGGAGATGAGAGTTTTATTTTAGTGGTATTTAAGTACGTGTAGGTGTTAGAGACTCAATAGTCTCTCACACACACACTTGCAAAACAGCCGCACACATTATGCACAGCTCTGCGCTTTGGTTTAAGACCTTGGCTCCTCTGAAGGTGGGAATGTGATTACCAGGCAATGACCTCATCATCCTGCGCCGGCGCCATGATTCACACATCATCACAACATCATGGACTTCCTCTCTAATGAAGTCCCTCAACGACGTCGCTCTCAACCCTTCAATGGCACCTCTTTCTGTCACACACACCCACGCGCTCACCTACACGCACGCACTCGCTCACGCGCACACACACACTGCACCACAATGCCACACAGAGATGATTAAACTGGAAATAAATGGAAATTTTGCACTTAAACGCACCTCCTGCCACCCACGTTCAATAGGTTCACCGCATACATTTTCTCCTTTATGACAATGTCTGCTCTCGCTCTCTCTTGCTCTTTTTTTCTCTCTTTCCTCCTCTGCCTCTCTTTGAACTTGTCTCGGGTTGTGTGAGCAGGGTTTTCTGGATTTTTGGTTAGACGAAGGCAGATGAAAGGAGCGTGGCGGATTCCCAGGCTGTAGTTTATAGGGGCTCTCTCGCTCCTGACCGCAGATTTTCATTTAGCTCGGTAGTTTTAGTGCATTCAGTGTGGTCGGTGGTGAGACTGGGGTACTTTCAGGGGAATGAAGCAACTTTTTCAGGTGAACAAAGATATGGTATTTTGGTAAGGAATAAGAGATAAGTCAGAAAAAGGTGACGTGAATTGATTTGAAAATCGAGTGCAGGTTTTTAAGTTTGGGCGATTAGCTTCTTTTCTAAAACATAATCACCAGAGGAGATTATGCTGACAAAAACTCTCTTTTTGAGGATTTTTTCCAAAAGCTTGAGCTCTACCCAAACCCAAATTTAGCGTTTGGGTTATTCCTTTTGCTTCTGTGGGTCCAGTCTGATCCCATCTCATCTGGTCATCTATAAATACACAGAAAAAGCTTAGTGTTGGAGTTCTGAGCAACCACCACAATGTCTGTCAAGTAAATTGCCGCAGAACACTCATCAGCACTGTGTGGAGAATAATAACTAGAAATTCCTGTAGGATTAAGGATAGAGCCTTATAAAAATGCTACTATGAACCACATTCTTCCTTTGAGACCTAACCGATTCTTCTTTTCCTTCTCCCCTATTTTCAGAGATTTAAAGATCGAAAACTTCCTTCTGGATGAACACAACAATATAAAGATTGTGGGTATGTTTCGTCACTAACATACTGATTTCAATTATTTACGCTAAACTGTTTTAGCTGTCTAAAATTTCTGAAAAGAACTTTGCTGTAAGATGATTATTTCTCCCGCAGACTTTGGCCTGAGTAACACCCTGAAGACTGACTCTTTATCTCTGGAGCTCCTCAGCACCCAGTGCGGAAGTCCAGCCTACGCCGCCCCGGAGCTCCTCGCTCACAGGAAGTATGGACCCAAAGTGGATGTGTGGTCTGTGTAAGTGCGAAAGTCTCAGTGTGTCTATCAGAGAAACTCTCTGCTTGGATATTGAACACATTTTTCTATAGTGTTGTAACAGATTATGTAATGATTTTCTCAGTATTTTTCATGTAAACGTGTCGACCGCCTCCTCACATTTTCCCGTTGTGTGTATCTACAGAGGCGTGAGCATGTTTGCAATGCTGACAGGAACTCTGCCCTTCACTGTTGAGCCGTTCAACATCAAACAGCTGCACCAGAAGATGGTCAACGGGGAGATCAGCAGCATCCCCGGTGACATCAGCAAAGGTACCTATCAGAGTGACCGAAACAAAGCTTCTATCATTACCGTATTTAACTCATAAACCAAAACTTTATTCACAATAGGACAGAAAAAAATGGGACGGGGTTACGTTTACCGCTGGTTAGCACCCCCTCGTCTTTTAACTACATAAATGTCTGGGAACTGAGGAGAGCTGCTGTTGGACTTGGACTAGGATTGTAGGCTCTGAGCAGTCCTGGGTCTTCTTTGCCATATTTTAGATTTCATAATGTGCTAAATATTTTCACCTGGATTGCAGACAGGTCAGTTCAGCGCCCGGGCTCTTACTACGAAGCCATGTTGTTGGCATAGATGCAGTATGTAGTTTAGTGTTGTCTGGCTGAAATATGCAAGTTTATTTTTGTGAAAACGATGTCATCTGGATGCTCTTAAACCTGCGTATATATCTGTCAGCATTGATCACGCCCAATCCCACAGGCATTGATTGACATCCATATTATCAGAGATCCAGAATTTCAACTGAGTGCTAATAACTGATAGGGGCAGGGATAGCTCAGTAGGTAGAGTGGTGGCCCCATGATCGGAAGAGGTTCGATTCCCCTGAACAGCTACCCTGAGGTACCCCTGAGCAAGGTACCGTCCCTACACACTGCTCCCCGGGCGCCCAATGGCTGCCCACTGCTTCACTGAGTGAATGGGTTAAATGCAGAGAGGAATTTCCCCACGGGGATCAATAAAGTACACTTTCTTTCTTCTTTCTAACAAGCTAGATGACTCCTTTACTCATTGCACTAAGGTGTGCGCTGTCCATGATTTCCAAAAAAGAATTTCAAGTTTCAACAGGTTTCCACTTTGTCTTTGTCCATTCTAAATCTTTGCATGATAGAGATTTTACCTGCATTTGTGGATGGCATGGTGAACTGTGTTAACAAACTTGATTTCCGGAAGCGTCGATGAGCCCATGCATTGATGTCCAAGTTAGAATTGTGCCCATCTTTAATGCAGCGCCACCTGAGAAGCCCAAAGATCACAGCCATCCAGGACTAACTTTCAGACTTGCCCCTTGCGCACAGAGATTCCTCCAGATTTGCTGAATCTTTTGATGACGACATTGACTGTGAATGATGAGGAATTCAAAATCTTCACAGTTTCCAGTGAAATTGTTTTGAAACTGTTTCCCAATTTGCAGACACAGTTTTTTGCAGATTGGTGAACCTCTGCCACGATTATTGGGTTAAGTGTATCTCTGAAGTTGAGTCTTGGTGAATGAAGCAAATGAGAATAAGTGAGTAGACTTAGACATACCAAAGAAATGCCAGATTATATTATGAGCTGACGTAGCTGAAAGTGTTTATTCATTCTGAAACCAATATAAAAACAAGTCTACATGACGATGCTTATTAAACCTTTATGGAAGTCGTGTCTTTGCCTTTAGACGTGTCGTAGCATAATAAATCGGAGGAAAGAAACGTTTTACAAACTGCTTACCTCTACCACTTGTCCTCTGCCAAGTCCACAGCAGCCTCAGTGTCCTGTTTCTCTCTACTTTATTTTGGTCTCTCTCTTACACATAGTCCCGTCATTACGCTCAGTCATGGCGCCATGTCACCGCAAACAAACATAGCTCTTGTTACTGTGGGGAAAACCAGCACAGCTCCGAAGCTCTGAAACTGTGACAAGATCAGATTAGTGGCTGTACCGCTGCCATGGGCGGGCATCTGAGACACTCACATTAACTTTTAGACTTTATTCTGCCTCCTAATGGGGCTGTGTGCTTCTAGAGTTTTTAAATTATGCATGATACCGATTCTTTTTCTCTTCAGCCATGGTAATTCGTGAACTTCATGATTTCGTAAAGACTGGCTCGTTACTTAGCTTATTTGCTTGTCTCGCTTGTTTCTGTGATATCCTTTAAATTATATATCTTTGCTTTCTAGGATTTTCTTTCTAGACTTCTCTACTTTCATCTTAAGTATATATTTTTTTCTTTCATTTCATACCAGTTTGCCCGTTTATGTGTTTGTTGTCTGGAGGAATGACGATTCCACAGGTTCACTGATTAAAATTCATCAATCGTGTGTCTTCCTTTGATCTGTTACAAACAAATTGAGTTGTCCCTGGCTGAGACAGGCGCTCTGGCTCTGAACCAAAAGCGAACTGATAGCAGTAAAGTGAACAGAGCAGTCTTGGCTGATGTGTCTTTGAATGTGGCAGCCATCCCGCTTCAACCCATCTGCTCTTTTACACTGTGAAACGTATCTGGAATCCCCATCTGGAC